GCCAGAAAGTAGGAGGAGTATGAAGGAACCTGAGAGATAAGGATGGGAAGTGTCCATGAGATTTACATAGCATCAGTTACCTGCTGGAATGTTTGACAACTGGTTCTGGGGGAAGAGGTGAGAGGCAGGGGAGGGATGCTCTGATTTTCAGCTTTCCTTGATTTCTGTGTTATAAATATTCCCACTGTGGCTACTATCAACAGTTTCACAACCAGATTGCAGATTTTCTGACAATTTAATGATCAGTTTTTGTGCCCTGTTCAGACTGGCTCCAATACATCACTGATTGGAGACCTTGACAAAAATAGTGTCTGTGAAGTAGTGGGGCTAGAAGAAGAGCTGAAGGATATCCAGTAGGTAAATGTTCTATGGGCATTGAAATGATTATTTTGAAGAGAATGGTAAAAAAGAACATATTTGATATAATATGAAAAAGCTTTAGGCTTGGAGTGATGGGCAGTTTTCTGTCTGTCAAGTTTTTGTTAACTTTTTTTTTATTGAGTTATAGTCAGTTTACAGTGTTGTGTCCATTTCCACTGTAGAGCACAAGTTTTCAGTTATACATGAACATACATATATTCATTGTCGCATTCTTTTTCTCTGTGAGCTACCACAAGATCTTGTGTATATTTCCCTGTGCACGTATTTTTAAAAGGCTACATTTTATTATAGTAAAAAATAAATTTTACTATATGGAGAACATAATCATTTAACATAATCATTTAACGACTACTTGTGTTTATATGTACCTGTTAGGAATGAGATATAGTTCCTTGTCTTAAGCTTTGTAATCTAAGTCAGAATTCATACAGAATAAATTTATAGAGGAAAAGTAATTTTTTAGAGGAAACAAAGTATATAAGTTTTGAGCTGACAGACAAATTTTTATAGTCAAAGAGTTTTGTGATCATTACAGAATATACATAATGTCTAAAGATGTTTTACAGAAAAGCCCCGATTTGGATAATTGAGAAGATTAGTTGAAAATTTTGATGTGAAAAAATATGTATAATCTGGTTCATATATAGACATCAAAGTATTAGAAAGTGTTATGCTTCTGTTTTAATGCGAATTCATATACTAATCAGTTAATACCATCTTTTTGTAACAAATATCTTTAATGATCTGTTTTTGTTTTGCTTTCTTTGTTGAAGAATTACTCATCAGTAATTTCAGATATTTTACTTGAATTAATGTATACATTAGTAGGTAACCTATTGTACTGTGGTACTATGACTTTTTAAAAATAGTATCTAGCCCATAAATGGACATTCCTTGGTTTTGCATTAATGGAAAGAGATTATTAATTTTAGGTCAGGATTCTGGCAGTCCTAGTACCTCAATTTTTATTTTTAGTCAATCAGAGATTGTGAAAGAGCTTTTGTGATTTCTGCATCTCACCAGAAATGAACAGATACAGTGATAAAATTGTAGCTCACATGTTGTTTGTTACATCCTGTTTTGTTTCTCTAGGCAGGTAGTGTGGTGTAGTGAGAAAATCATGGGCTTTTGCTTCAGTTAGGTTTGAACTAAGCTCTGGCTTCAACATTTTCTAGCTATTAGCCTTGCTTTGTTTCTTCACTTGTAATATTGCCCTTCAGGGTGGTTGGGAGAATTGTATGAAGTAATATAGCCAAAAGATCTTTATGCATTTATCAAAATACATCAAATTGTACATCTGAAATATATGTAGTTTACTGTACAAGCATTATACCGCAATGAAAGTGTTTTTTAAAAAAAAGATCTTAGAGTCAGGCGCACATAGTAAAATCTTAATTAAGCCATTTCTTCAGGTAGGTGTCTCAGAATATAATGAAGAATCATCTTGGGAAACAAAATGTACTTGTTTTTCTACTATAAAAATCGTGCAACTACAACTGGAGAATGAATACTTTGCAAAGAAGTATTAATATTTTAAGGTACCTGATTAATTCAGCACATTCTTATGTACAAACCTAAATAATTTGTGACAGTTAATAAATTCATTCTTAAGGATACTTGCATTTCAAATCATGGGAATGTGAAACATTGTGATCAATTATCTTATAAACATGCATTCTGAAACTCCTGACCTGGTGTAATAGAAACATTTTATTACAAGTCAGACTAAACTCATGTAGCATTCTTTGATTCATTTTATCACGTGAACTTTTATCAGTTTGATCTTTTAGATGTTTTCACAGTTTTATCTATTTTGTGATGAATGTTTCTTTTTTTTTTGCTTATTTTCCTTTTCCTTTTTTTTCCTATTTAATATTAAATATTACCAATTTTTAATTTATGTTTTTGTTTCATCTTTCCCCTTCAGGTCATTTTTAAAAAAGAAAAAAAATAGTGATGCGTTTTATTCTGCTTCCTATACAGAAGTGTATCTCAGGATAGTTACTGTTAGAGTGACTACAGCCCTGGCCTGTGGTGCCGATTAGTATTCGTGGTTTGGAATCATCATGCCTCCTCAGGAAGGGTGGCAGAGAGCATCTAGATTGTTACTGGAGGATTGAGGAGCTTTCTATTTGATTTTTGGGGCTATTGCTTAATTTATTTAAAATTACCTTTTCCACAGTTTAATGACTGAGCATTTTCTGTTATTTATTTAATAGATTAGTTCAATTTCAAAATATTTACTTTAGCTCTGACTTCATTACTTAACTACCTAAGATAAAAGATATTAGGTTTAAGGAAATCCAAGAATGATGAAACCTTTAAGGGACCTTCCTTGACTTACAGTTATTTTATTTTGGAATGAAATAGATGTTTATGGAAACTATGTTCTTTTAGAAGCACAATTTTGTCTTCTGCCTCATTGAGTTTATTTATTTTTAAGAGGAATTCTTATTTAAAAAGTAGTTTCCTTTATAGATTTTCCTTTCCCTATATTATCTCAGCATAATAATGGAAATGAAGTGTATTCATTAGTAGTAAAATTATTTGTTTTATTCTGTAATCTAATGTACATCATCAGTTAAATGATTAGGAAATCTTTACCTTTTTGTTTTTCTTTTAGAAGAGCTGAAATCAAATTCTCCCACACCTGTCAAACCTAATTGAAGCCTCCATTCTGTATGCATAGTTATTCAGACTGCCATTTGTAGTCCAGGATACTTAGTTATTCTCATGATGACTTAGTTTAATTGTACTTCCTGACCATCGTAGATATTTGGTGTCCCTAACTGGAATAATTTAAGAACAGTTGATCCCTAAACACAGGAGATCTAAAAAGCTTAATTCTCAAATACCTCAAATAAACCTCATTGTCAGCAAATAAAATACCTTCATATTTGACTTATTTTGGAAGCTGAAATTTTTTTTCAACTCACTATACAAGTGATACCTCTCTCTATTAAATAAACCTCATAACATCTGTATGTTAAGGTGACTTGGGGACTATTGATAATGTATGTAAAGTGCTAATGTTGGGTACCTGATACATAGCAGATAGTCAGCAAGAGGTGGCTGCTGCCTTCATCCTCTAATAATGACTGGAACAAATGCCAACACATGTGTTCTGCTGAAAAGGCTCATTTGTGTCCATTTTTCTTTTCTCTAAAGAAAAAATTAATATTGACTACTGTGGTTTAAAATAAGATAAGGTATTTGTGTTATATCTATGAAGCAGATCTTGGGAAAAGTGATTTTAAAAAAATGTCTCTGTATATGGTCTTGGTTAGTTTTGAGATCTTGCATATTTGAAAAATTTTTCTTTGTTACAGTTAATGGGTAGCTTAGCTGCATGTAGAATTATACTTAGAAAACAATTTTCCTTTAATTTCAAAAAACGTTTGAAGTATAGGTTGCCTTCTAGCTTCTAGTTGTTCTGTTGAGAAGTCTCTTGTCGTTTTGAGCCTTGATCTTTATCTTGACTTGTTTTGTCTCTCAGGAACTTTTAAAAGTCTCCTCTTTATTCCTGTTGATCTAAACATTTTATCTGGTACCTCTTTTCCTCCAGTGAGTGTTTGGAAATGTATGGAGATAGTTTTGGTAACCATGGTGACTAGGAGTGCTGAGGGAGAATGCTTTGGTGTTTACTACCTGGAGGTCAAAGAGGTTAATTTTCTTGCAAATATAAGAAACATGATCACCCAGAATGTCAGTAGTGCCTCTGATAAGAAGTATTGTGATTCCAGGGAAATATAAGAATGATCCTGATCTGTGTATTGATTATAGTGTATGACAAGAGAAACAAGACATGTGCACCAAAGGCCTGTCAATATATTTGGTAATAGTGTTATGCTATATGAAACAATGGAAGAAGAAAGAGAAATAATATGGTACAAGTTGAAGTAGATTAAAAATCACTATGTGAAATATAGGCTTCAAATTATCTGTGAGTATATATTTACCATGTTACTGATTTTGGTTTCTAGTTAGACATTATCTGCACTGTTGTGCTCAATCATATTTTTGACATTTTTTTCTGTATTTCTAAGTAGTACCTGCTGTTAATTAGTTTGATAGGTCAAGAAAATTATTGACTCTTTTCTTTAGTAGGACATCTAATTGTAATCCAAACACTTAGCAATTCCTGATCCAGAAAGATTTGAGAAATATTTTTTCTGCAAAGGCTGGAACTTGACTGACAGTGATAACTATACATGTTTAAATGGGACTGGGATTCAGAAGGGAGTTGAGCAAGGGTTGTAGTTGCATGGCTTCATAGCAGCTTCTGAGTTATCAGTTTATAGTTATATTTCATTAACGTCTTGGGACATGAATTACCAGGATAACATAATATAGATAGCTATATTATAGCGATGCACATATTCAGTGGCAAAGACAAGTTACTTCTGAATTATCCACCATTTTTTCATGGTTCATGCTTTACATCACTAATGTGGCTAATCAGGCTGACTGTGCATTAGAAATACAGGACTCTAAGGCAGTAAAGAGGGATTAGGGTAATGAGGTGAGAAGATAGTGGAAGATGTTAAAATAGTTTAATAATTAAGTATTAATGTAGAGTCTCCATTTTAATATGCATATGATATGCTTCTACTTTTCAGAACCTAAATCACAGCCGCAGCAGCTTCATCAAGGGCAACACAGGTTGTCAAATACTGAGCAAAATGGAGTAAAAGATAATAATCAACCCAGATACCTTCCTCGGAATGATACAAGACAGCCAAGAAATGAAAAACCTCCTCGCTTTCAAAGAGACACCCAGAATTCAAAGGCAATTTTAGAAGGCAGTGGATTACCTAGAAATCGAGGTTCTGAAAGACCAAGTACTTCTTCAGGATCTGAAGTATGGGCTGAAGAGAGAATCAAATGTGATAGACCATATTCTAGATATGAGAGAACTAAAGATACTTCATACCCTTTAAGTTCCCAGCACAATGATGCTGCGTTTAAAAGAAGGGATAACTCTATGCAAAGCCGATCAGGAAAAGGTCCATCCTACACGGAGGCAAAAGAAAATCCACTTCCTCAAGAATCCATAGATTATAATAATCAAAAACGTGGGAAAAGAGAAAACCAAACAGCAAATCCCGATCATTTTTATGACAGGAAACCACGAACAATAAATAATGAAGCTTTTAGTGCTGTAAAAATTGAAAAACATTTTAATGTAAATACTGATTACCAGAATCCTGTCCGAACAAATAATTTCATTGGTGTTCCGAATGGAGAGACAGAAACACCACTGAAGGGAAGGCGAGTAGGACCTATTAAACCAGCAGGACCCATCACAGCTACACCCTATGATGATAAAATATTTTATAATAGTGGGCCCAAAAGAAGATCTGGGCCAATTAAACCAGAAAAAGTACTAGAATCATCCATTCCGATGGAGTATGCAAAACTGTGGAAACCTGGAGATGAATGTTTTGCACTTTATTGGGAAGACAACAAGGTATGCATGCTGTAAAGTAACTAAATACTAATATTACAGAATGTAATATTATAGTGAGACCATAGAAAGCCATTGCCTTGGGACTGAGTTGTGTTCTATGATTGTACTTGTTTAAAGTCTTTGAATGGATGTGTAGATATATAATTTATCAAAGGAAAAACAAAATATTTAATATTTTTTATGGATGGTTGGGAGTCCTGTAAGAGTTTGTTAGGTTAGGTTTGAGTTTCATTTGCATGTCAGAGAACTGTTGTAAAAATGATTAAGTAAAATTGATAAGTTACTTAAATTACTGTCAACTGAACTATTAATGTTTGCTTTTCTTTCTAGTAAAATCTGCTTCACAAGGAAGAAAATCAGTTGAGTGGCACAGAGTTAAATTCTGCAGGTTTCGTTTAATTTAAAGAAAATATACATGATCAGTCTACTTTAAAAAAATTAACAGCAGGAATGTTAATTATTTAGCTAATAATAAATAATTTAATAAGTATTAAACCTGTCATTTAAACACATCAGTGCCTTATTTCATGTTCTAAAATTATCACAATTTGTTATTTTTTGTTTCGGTTCCTGCATTCATAGCTTTTTCCCCTACCATGATTTTAAGTTCCATGACGGCAGGAACGTGTCTGTCCAGTTTTCCTCTACTGCCCTGCTCCTCCCATAGTGTAGGAATTTCATAATTATGTGTTGACTTTGTTAATTGGTTCATTCTTAAGGGGGCACTTAACAAAACAGTGGGGTGGTTAGGGGACTGGAGATATCAGCAAGGTAATGAAAACGGAGGAAAGGGAATTACTGTGTAAGAGGCCTAGGTAGATGTGAGGATCAAGTCAAACAATATTTCATATGTAGAGTAGTTTCACTTGGTAAGGGTATGCCCATGTGTGTGGCTAAAAGGAGTTAAAATTAACTGAAAATCTCAAGAATCTGAAATTCAGGCTAGGGAAGGTGGTTGGACCTTTTACAAAATGCTTATAGGCCTTGGGATCAGGAACCAGGCTCCACTGTGTTCAGTGAGTGATGAGGCACAAGCAGGGTGTTAGATGTCACCTGATGATAGCAGCAAGCAGGGGTCCAGGGTGGTATAACTAGATGGCATAGCCTTTTAAGGTTTTTGTATGAATATGGGGTGACATTTGTCTAGAAGCAGCATCTCTACTGTCAAGTTTTTATTCAAGGTTAGAAGCAGGGGAGGAGGCAGCACTAGCTGTATCCTTTCTTTTTTTCAAGAAAAAAAAAGCCTTCCCAGAAATACCAGCAATCTCATTGGTTAGAACTATTTCACATGGCCATTTCCTGATGTGGAAAGCAAGTACCAGTGTTCTTCACTATCTAGACTCCTACTCTTGCAGCTGAGACCACTCACTTTCCAAAATACAGGAACTCTTTGATTTGGCTAGTGAGGGATTACTTATGCTTAGCTGTTCCTCCAACATGGTAGAGGCAAGAAAATGTGCAGTGGTTGGAAAACAATGCTAGTTTATAGAACTAACATTGTCTATCTTAGAAGGGAGTGTCCACTTCTGTCAGATGCTTCTGTGAAAGTTAAGATGAGGATGGAAAATTTTTATTTTGCATTGGACAATGCGGAGTTGATGGTGACCTTGACCAGCAGAGGAAGTAAATGATTGGAGTTCAAGTCCAATAATGCTTGAAAGGCTTGGTGAAAGACTTGGGCTTTCCATTGAAATCCCATGAGGACTGTACCCCAGTAGTAAGTGCAAAATACAAACAAGCCATTACAAAGCGTTGAATCAACCCTGTACCTGATCAAGGATATCTATTTGTATTCTGTCTGCCCACCAAAAAAAGTTTATCCTCTTTTGGGGAAAAGTAACATTTTCTAGAACCTCAGAGGGTATTTTATCTGCAATGTCTCGCATCCTATAAAAATTTATGAGATGTGGTTAAAAATACAGAGAGAGAAAGTATATGAATGACCAGAAACAAATAAAGCAACAGAGAATAATCACAGACCTAACAAATTCAGATATTAGACAAGTTCTTCAACAAATATTAAGTATTCAACAAAGCATAATTGAGTAGCTGCTAAGTGTTAGGTGCTTGGGATGTGTCAGATACTTTTGGTGGTGCTATTATCCAAATAACCTTCAAATACCTAATAAGATTGTTATTAAAGCTTTTTTTTTAATTGAAGTATAGTCAGTTTTCAGTTTACGATATTGTGTTAGTTTCTGATGTGGAGCATAGTAATTCATTTATACATATATGTTCCCTTTCCTATTTTTCATTATAGACTATTACAAGATATTGAATATAGTTCCCTCTCGTTTACAGTAGGACCTTCTTGTTTATCTGTTTTATGTATAGTAGTCAGTATCTGCAAATCTCAAACTCTCAATTTATCCCTCCCCCTCTTTCCCTGCCCCAGTAACCATGAGTTTGTTTTCTCTATCGGTGAATCTGTTTCTGTTTTGTAAATAAGTTCATTTGAGTCTTCTTTTTTTTTTATTTTCAGATTCCACATATAAGTGATAGCATATGGTATTTTTCTTTTTCTTTCTGGCTTGTGTTACTTAGTATGATAATCTCTAGGTCCATCCATATTGCTGCAAATGGCGTTATTGCCTTCCTTTTTATGTCTGAGTAGTATTCCATTGTATATATATGTGTGTGTGTGTGTGTGTGTGTGTGTGTGTGTGTGTGTGTGTGT